TTGTTGTCCTGAGCCGTCTAAGGCTTTATAGGTCAAAACCAGCACTGGGCAGAATTGGGTCTAGCGTAGGATTGCCGTATTTCAAAAAGTAACCAGGACACCCCAAAAGTTGTAGAGCGATATTTAGGAAACCCCAAAAGTTGTTGAGCAGATATATGGCAGCCCTAGTCTAGCGGTTGAGCCAGACTAGGCTATCCCTTGGCCACCAGCCGAAGCTGATGGAAGATACTCCATGCCACCAAGGCCGCCTGAGCCTCAAGCGACAGAAATACTCCAAAGCTGTGTACCTGCTCCTTCAGAGCACTCAAGGTCCTATCCCTGTGGTCTAGGGAACCACCCACTAAGAACTTCATTCTTATCTGGATTGAACTTGGTTGGCTCTCATTCAGTCCATTACCGAGGTAAGGCAATGATCCAGCACAACCACTGCCACACCTGCAGATGCTAAAGGAAAGGTCCAAAGTCTGAGAACTGCATTCGAAAACCTGAAAGATGCACGTAATTGAAGGCTGTGCAATCCCAGCATATTTCTAGCTGGGAGTAAGTCCCACTGAATTCAGTAAACATGTATAGGATAGTGGTGGGACAAAGTCCCCTCAACTCCCCAAATTGTACATTGACAGGCTTTCTACCTACCTACCTACATATGCTTTATCCCAGTTCATGATTTGAAGGTCCATGCTGCAGCAAATTTGCTGAAGTTAAGCAGGTCACGATCTGGCCAGTGCCCAGATGGAGACCACCTGGGATTTTTGGAAGTCCACTCACCTCTCTAGGTGCGGTGGTGTTGCTGGATGGAAGAGGCTTCACTGGGGCCCTGATGGTGGAATTCAAATGGCAGTGCCCTTCCTGATAGGCAGAGGGGGCATATGCCCCTGCCGCCCATCAGGAGCTGGATCTTAGCCTGCACCCTGCATTGGCGAATGGGGATGCAGGCTGGGGTGTGGGCGGAGCCAGGGGCGGAGCCAATGGAGCCCACGGTGGGCTTCCCTCGGATCCGCCCCCTGCCCATTTAAGCAGCCCACACCCGGGGCACGCCTGTTTGTTCCTGTGCCAGGTTTTCCCCCCATCCCCCCCACCCACAGTTTACGCTGATAGGCAATGACTTCGTTGTGACTATGGTGGTCACTGTTCTTTACGGGGCCGGGTAGGAATTTGCCCACCAGGCTAATTGGCACTGACCTGGTGGTTTTGCCTACCTCATAGCAAATTTCTCACAACTGGTTGAGCATTGGGACAATCCCTTGTTTTGGACGGAGGGGAGGTTGTAGTCTCCGCTTGCCCCTCCAAACGCTGGGGTATCCCGTTAAAGGATTCCAGGGGGAGTGGCCATGTCCGCGTGCCCGGGGGGGCAGGGCCAAAGGCACTCCCCTGCGGGGGTCATCCTATTGGATGTAAGTCTTAGGAACTTCCACCGGGATTGACCACGCGTCACTTCCAGCAGGCAGGCGGAAAGTATTTAGATTGCCCCAAGCCCAAGCTAAACCTCTTTCATCTGTATTCAATAAAGTTGTAGCCTGTTTTCATCCAAAACCCAGTCTGATTGGTCTCTTATTTATATGGGTTGGGGTATGGGAAGTCCGATGCCTGGTCCTGCAACACTGTGAACAGCACCTTAAATTCATTCCATGATGGAAGAAAGTAAGGATCTAAAAATAATAAATAAAAGTAAGGAAAATGAATGCATGTCACCATGTAGGAAGTGTGGTGGGTGTTTATTGCATGCAATGGCTTCACAGTTAGTGAGCTTGCAGTGAAATAAACAATCACACAGAGGGTTGGCTAGCTGGACTCTTCCCATTCCTGCTAGCCAGAAATAAGGCATGTGTGTGCTAATAGTCTCCTATGCTCCTTTGCCAATTTCAGGCATCTGTGTTATGTTTCTCCAAACAAACAGAAATCGGCGTTGGGAAGGAAAAATCCAGTGGCTGGCTCAGTTGCCCCAGAATCACCCAACTTCTCATGTAAGAGGGGACCAGATAAAGAATATAATCAAAAGTCAAAAACACTGTAAACACGGACCAACACCCCCTCAAAAAAACTAGCCACAGAATCTTCTGTGCAGACAAGAAGACCAAAGTCCCTAACTCCTAGCAACAGCATTGCAGGAATGGTCTTATCACTTGAGGGGCGCAACATGAGTTAGAAAGCAGGAACTCCCAATACATCAGTAAAGGTTGGCACTTATTTAATACATGTAGGAACCCAAGTCACATTCTTCCAATTTTCATAACTGAAAGATGGAAACATCTGCTGAACTTGTTTACAGAATTTAATAATACGGTAAAATTCCACTTCTTTTTTTGAAGTAGTGGCTGCAAGCAGTGAGCCAACGAGATATAACAAACTGTCACTTGGCAACTGCAACAGAGGTTTTCCCTGCCCTAGTTCTAGGTCAGTTTATGTATACTGTACGCTATTTCTCCTGGAAGATCAGAGGAGTAACTTGCCTGGATTGTTTGCAAAAACAGTAACAAAATATATAAACATATTTTTTCAAAGCGCAATTTGTGACATCAAGATAGTAAGCCAAGTATTTTGGAGAGTTTAGTATGTGGTGCATCCATTCCCCCCCCCCCCAGAAGACCAGCTAGGAAATATTAGGCAGGGGTTGTTTGCTGAACATAAAGTGAAAGGGGATATCCAGTCTTGCATATGCAAGACTTTCATCTGCAAAAGTTAGGCTTGTATTTAGCTATTTGACTTCCCCTCCGCTGGATCTAACATAATTCTGAGTTAGAAGAGACCTCTAGTGGTGTTTTTTTAAGACATCCACTTTAAACTGTACTGCAAATTGTTGGGTAGATGAAGTATTATGAACATTCTCCAAATCTATGCCACAGAAAAAGATGTTCTAACTCTCATGACTTCTCCCCAAGGCATCACAGGAAGTGAAGTTCTTTAAAGAGTGATCCACTGGCCCCTCAATTGCCTCTGCCAACCTCTCCCCTCCCTCCCATTCCCCCTCTTCTTGCCACCCGCATGAAATTAGACCAAGGACTGCATGAAATCAAGCTGAGGGCCACAGGTTTTCCATCCCAGTCACAGAACATCCTAGCCAACTGTATCAAGGAGTGCCTTCTCTCCTACAAATAAAATAAACATTTGGACAGCACTTGAGGCCAGGCTTTGTGTGACTACTGGTGTTTATCCTGTGTGGAAAGGGTTGATACCATGTGCTGTTTCAGATTATTTTTTGTCTTTGCAGGAACACTTAGTATTCAGTATTTGTATTGTTGCATTGGTGTTGTTAGCGTCTTTTGCACTTTTTTCCTTTCGGGGTGCCAAATTAAATAAAATATTGCAGGGGGGGGGAGGTAAGCCCCACCTCACATAACTGATCACATGATGCACACTGTTTGAATGGCAATGCTCATCAACTTGGGGGCCTTCCAGCCCACCTGAAAATTAATTAGGGTAGGGCCAAATGGACCTAATCCCATAGGAGTTGGCTCCTATATGATTCCTAGAAAGTCATGAGGGTACCTCCAGATAAGTTAAGTTATACGTATATATGAATCCTGCACAATAAAGTGTGTACAACTATTTACACAGACTCTTTTTGGACCGTTGGCAAACAGCCCCAAAAGGCAAATGGTGTGGCAACAGTCAGTGCAATCCCAATTCCACACACACAGAGAGAGATACTACAGCCCTTAGGAGCGAACTCCTAGGGGCCTGAGGTTCCTTCACCCCTGCCTAAAAAAAAGCTATTTGAGGGGACCAGCAGCCCCCCCCCAGTTAAATGGGCAATGCCATTCAAATAGTGTGCATGCACCGCGACATGTGATTATGTGGTGTGGGGCTCACCAGCCCCAATATTTTATTCAAGTTGTCACCTGTGCACAGCCAGCCAGCAATAGAAATGCAGAGGATTTTTTGCTGCTGCTGCTGCTGGTGGTCTTGGAAGAGACCCTTTTACATGTAATAGGTAGCATGAGGGGCTTTCAACATCCTGCCCTGCTCCCTTGCCCCTCATGCTCATATAGATATATGAATATATTGTGTGTGTATATATACACACACACACACGTATAACATACACACAAACATATATATGTGTGTGTGTGTGTGTGTGTGTGTGTGTGTGTGTGTGTGTGTTTAGGGGTACTCTCATTTTGACTCAAGAAAACCACCATTTTATAGTTCAAATTGGGAAAAAGAAATACATTATGTGGACAAAAGTACAAAGACTCACAAAATGTTTAGGGGTATGCGTACCCGTGAACCCCCAGAAAAAAACACTATATATGCAATATTTATGTGTGTGTGTGTGTGTGTGTATACGCATGCATGCATGCAAGATATGTATGTTTTTTAATAGAAAACGAAGGAAAAACGGGATTCTCGACCCCTGTCAGGAAACGCAGCGCTCTGCTCTGGAGAAGTCCTTTCTCCCACGCCTTGATGCGTCAGGATTCATCCCTTCTCCCCTCAAATACGTGAGAGGCGAGGCTGAGAGAACCTGACACGGGAAAGTGTCGCTAAGGCAGGACTTTCAACTCCTGTCACTCCTTCACATATCTCAAGGGAAGGAGGAGGCCGGCGTCGCTTTTGGCGCCCTTTTGCAAAGAGTCGAACCCGCTCCTCGTGAATTATTCTTGTAGGGAAGCGACACAGCTGTTCCCCCGGCGGCATGCATACAAATGAGCGCGCCAAATTCACGCACGGCTTGAGAGGAGGGAGGGCGGGGAACGAGTCCCAAGCCGAAGGGGAAGGTGTGTGTTTAAATAACATCACATAAAACGCTGCAAAACGAAGTATTCCTGGTTAGGGGGCGTGATCAGACAGGAAGGCGGGAGATCTCTGATTCCCCGTATGTGGCGGGAAAGCGGGAAGTTTGAAAGATGTTATAAAGGGGCTTAAATAATTCGGCTCTGCTACTGAGAGAAAGGACATTCCTGTGGTAAATGAGGGCCTGCCATGCTTTTATAAACGCAGGCGCAAACAGTTGTGTTATCTTTTGACAGAACCACCTTTTTTGTATTAGGGGGGAAGTGGGGGGGGGACAAACAAACAAAAAGTTATGTACAGAGCATTCTCAGAATGACGAGAAGTAAAACATTATCAATGCTAAATCGTACTTAAATAAGTACGATTCAAATATGCCTGGAAAATGGATGATTTGGCAGATAGGATATTTCATCCCACAACAATCTATCTATCTATCTATTAGGGGAAATTAGGGTATGTCAAATTCGCTAGTGGTGCACTTATAAAAAAAAATTATTATTTTTTTATTTCCATGAGGTGGAATGTTCAAAATCAAGGAAAAAAAGAAGCTCGGAAATGCATGAATTATAAAAAACAGCCTCTCGCTCCCTCTGTTTATTGCTCTGTGGAACCAACACAGCTGCTGTTATTCCTCATAACACTTCATTAATTCTGAATACAAGCGTTTTATTACTCTGACAATTCTGACAGGCAGGCAGATGCCGTATTTTAACAGAGCACCCTTCGATTTCCCCCCTCAGATAAACGACATATGCGGAGAAAACCTAAACTCCCGTAATACCGTCATTAATACTCTGCAAAGTGAAATACTAATTCTTTTTTTAAAAATAGCCCAAAATAGATTGCTGCAATTTTAAATTGAGGCAGTAGGCCTAGGTGTCCCCTCCCCCGCTACTGTGGCATGTCTATATGCTTTGCCTCACACAAAACTGAAGGTTTTTATCTTTAGCCACACTGGCTGAGACGCAGCTAAAATAGGGTTAAAAGAGCTAAAGCAGGTTTATCTCTCTCTCTCTCTTTGTATCTTATTGTAACTGAATTTGGCATATCCTCATCTCATTTTATCCACCTGTGAGGGCCAAGAGGGTGGGATTTGAATATGAGAGATGCCGGTTCAAATTGCTGCTCTGTGCACAACACAGCATTAAACTGAGACTCACTGAACATTGGTATGTACGTTTATTTTCAGGTGTCGTAAATCTGTAGCAAGGGCTTCCTGGGATGCTACAGAGGGCTGAGGTGTGTGTGTGTGTGCCTCACTTCAGAGAGGGCAAACATTATCGTGGGGTAGTGTCAAAATGAAGAACTGCCACAGGTTTTGTATTCTGTCGTATTTAATGTGGGCCAAGGGCTCTACTGTTGGATACAGAAATACAGACTTAAATGTGTTGAGAACAGGAAGGCGGCAATTTTTTTAAAAAATCAACAGAGTGACAGATCTTTAACATTTACAAAAATGAAATATTATACCTTGCTTCTCACATGTATTTACAGTCTAGAATAGAATCTTTACCGTTGTCTCCATGTTTATTGTTCTGGACTGCTGTATCGACAGTTTTCAGTATAATCTATTATATCTTTCTGAATTACTTGTCTATATTTGACCATGATTCTACTCTTATCTGCCAGGTAGATTCCACAAGGTGACTGGAGACAGTTGCTCGGCCCTATGGGAGATGACCCTTGTGTTGCTCCAAGGTTTCGTATTTTCTTCCACCTTATTCAACATGTACATGAAGGTGTTGGGAAATGCAATTTGAGGATTTGGAGTTCATTGCCAGCAATAGGCTGATGATAATCTGTGATTTCTTCCTCAGTTCTTCGCAAGGTGGTGCTGGAATCCCTGAACAAGTTGTCTGGAGTTAATAATGAGCTGGATAAAGGCCAATAAAAAGAAGTTCTATCCAGCTAAGACTGAGCTGTTGACGGTAGGTGAACCAGTTAACGGTAGGTGAACCTGTCAATTTGAGTGTGAGTGGGCAACCTGTTCTTACAGCACTTCAATGTTCATGGATCCAGCATTATAGCTTGACAGTTTCTGTCCAGAGTGCCTTTTTCTTGTTAAGTTTGGTGCATCAACTCTTCTCTTTCTCATATTATAATGCTTGTGTCACCATCTAACATACCTTCTAAATTATATAATAACGTCAAAATTTTATTTCCGTAATGCATTTTACGTGGGTCTGCCTTTGAAGACCGTCCAGAAACTTTAACCGATCTAAAATGTAGCACCCAGGTTACTGTCGAGGAATGGCCTCAGAGACCAATCTTCGTATGTCTGCTGCCAGTATATTTCTTGGCACAATTCAAAGTACTGTTGTTGACTTTTAAAGCCTTAAACAGTTTTGGTCAGGGTAATATGAAGGGGCACTTTCTCTCCTAATTTTCTACCTTCCTCTGTCATCAAAGTCATTAGCGGAGACTCTGTTGAGTATGCCATTCCTAATGAGGTATGGTTAGCAGTGAACAGGACAGGGTCTTCTTGGTAGTGACACCATACCTCTGAAATCCCTGGTCAGTAAAGCTGTCCTGGACACCTCACCTCTCATCCAGGAAGCTGGGCCGGGGGAAAGAGCTCTTTAAAGGAGTGTTCACTCCAAAATCAAGGAGTATTGATTGTTCTTTTCTAGTTGCTTTGTTTGTGTTTTAAAGATAGGTTGTTTTAGGCTGCATTTATATTTTGTATGCTATATTTAATTGGTTGTAACCTTCTTTGAGAGTGTTTAACTAGGAAGCAGCATAGCAATCTTTAAAAAAAACCAACATTTTATTACTTGGGCAAATATGGTGTTGTTGGAGCTAGGTGGTGGTATGTATCTTCTAATTCAAAAATTAACTTTGGAGTTTCTCCAGTTATTCCCAAGGCTGTGAGTTAAGAAGTTAACTTTTGTATTCCTTATTTTGAAGTTCCTTTATACAGCCTACCTGCCGAATTCCATGCAAGTTTACTCAGGTCAATATTTCTTATTAAGTGTTTTTAGGATGGCACATGTTAATTCACACTAATTTCAATTGGAGTAAACTTTCATAGATGGGATTTCTGCTTTAACACAGTAAATTATTCATGCAAACTGAGTGCCTTTCTCGAATATGTAAAGGTAAAGGACCCCTGGATGGCTAAGTCCAGTCAAAGGCAACTATGGGGTTGCAGCGCTCATCTTGCTTCAGGCCGAGGTGGCCATCATGACTAAACCGCTACTGGCACACGGAGGAGCGTGATTAGTGCCAGAGCACACAAAAATGCCGTTTTCCTTCCTGCCGTAGTGGTACTTATTTATCTACTTTCACTGGTATGCTTTCGAACTGCTAGGATGGCAGAAGCTGGGACAAAGCAACAGGAGCTCACCCCATCATGGGGATTCGAATCACCAACCTTCCGATTGGCAAGCACAAGAGACTCAGTGGTTTAGACTACAGCCACCCGCGTTACTTCTGGAATATGTATATTTCCTAAACATTTTTTCCCATTGTAGGCTGCGACTTTTGCCAAGTTTGGGTATTCTTACTGAGATGCCACTACCCGACTACCTTTGGAGGTTTTAGCCTTTATTTGGAGGGAAATTGGATCATTTGAATCCAAAATACCCTGTTTGTAAAAAAGAAAAGAAAAGAAAAAAGAAAATACCTAGAGAAAAAGATCTGCCAAAAAAAATGACGCTGCTGTCAAATATTGTACTTCTGTTGAGGCATATTTTGCAAAAGAAGAAGAAAACAAAAAGTGCAAGGGCTCAAAAATTATCTGTGCACTGTTACTGGAACAAATATGGGTTCTCAAGCTGTGAGAATTTACAAGTCATTTAGAGACAGAAAAGAAGTCAGAAATATTGAATGTTTATGGTTTCTCTTCTATGAATAAATCAGATATATGCACAAACAGCATCATTTATTATGATGATTGATTTGTTGTGCAAAACATTTTTCTAGGCTCCTGTCTTGACTAAGCAGGTTTTCTAGAGGCCTAGAGTATAGTGATAGTAAACCCATATTGGTCATAGGTTTGAAGTCTTGTTTATTCTATTTTACTCCAGGAAGAGCCATTTATCCTAAATAGAACCCAATAAGGCCAACATGTATGTAAAAAATAGATGTATTTTAATGTGATTCCACTGAGATCCCAAAGATGAAATTTTGCAGGAAGCTCATGAAAATGTTTAATCATATCACTTTTTAAATCACTTTTTAAAATTTTAAATGATGTAACTTTAAAATTTAAAGTAAGTCCATCACGTGCCATATCATATTAAAGCCCATGAAGTTCTGAAGAGATTTGTATTTTTAGTTTTGAAATATCTCAATTCTGGGCTGAGATTTTAAGGTTTTTGTGTAGTCCAGCAAGGCCAAAATTGTCAATTTTTTGAAATTTCAAACCCTCGTAACGGGATGAGATAAAAAATAAAAAACTGAGATCTGGGACCTTCGCTTATACTACTTTTAGGAAACTGAAACTGAAAGCAAAATAAAATAGTAATGTAAAAGTCTTTGGATCACTTGACATGGAATGACCCACTCCATGCCTGTGAGTGCAGAAGTGAGCTTATTGCTATTTGCTGCTCTTGTGATTCTCTGGATTAGAGGAAATAAATGTAAATTCACTGAAAAGCTTCTGGCTATAAAACAAAGAACTGCTAGTACTTCAGAGACGTCACATTTATGTATGGCAACAGTAGACTCATAAACGACTCATAGATTTGGAAGGATGATTGATGTGTTGTATATTATACTTATAAAATTGAACATTTACCCTGTTTGTGTAATATATACCAATCATGCCATTTTATAGTCCTTGAGCTCATTGTTCCTTTCATTTTTCCTGTGGATTTCATTTTCCTTATCTCTATACTGTGGATTTCCCTCCCGCTTTTCAGGCTAGATTAATGAACCGAGGAAGAAGGATGACATATCCTGCAAGAACCAGCTATACCTTGATTCCAAACCAGAAATATCGACGAAGCTACCGTCGTTCCAGCAAGTTTAGCAGCACCCTGGATGCGGATTCTCCATCTCTGTCAACTCTTGGGGATTTCAAAGCACTCCCCTTAGAAATCTTTCAGATGGTTTTAGAATATCTGCCAGGTGAGAATTTGAGGCTTTGTGATGTATCTGCTACAAAAGCTCTACCCCACTTGCCAAATGTAGCATACCACATTAGCTGCCAGTTCCTATGTGGCAAGCCACTATGTCTGGTTTATCAGGCGAGGCTGCTCATTTATAATTGACAGTGGCGATCTGTTATTGTTTATTGAGATGCAGAGTATTTTGTACCAGTGGTCCTGTGGTATACTTCTTTGGCTTGTTTTAGTTTGGGACTCATTGCACCTATGCTGCTGTTCAAGTTTTTGGGACTTATACAGTGGTACCTTGGTTTAAGAACAGCTTAGTTTATGAACAACTTGGATTAAGAACGCGGCAAACCCAGAAGTAGGTGTTTTGGTTTGTGAACTTTGCCTTGGAAGCAGAACGTGTTCCGCTTCCTGTTGCGTGTGTTCCATTTGTAAACTAAGTCCCCCGCTGCTATGGGAAAGCACGCCTTGGTTTAAGAACGCTTTGGTTTAAGAACGGACTTCCAGAACGGATTAAGTTCGTAAACCAATGTACCACTGTATGTGTTTTTACCTCTCAGTATAGAGTGCCTACATTGTTTTTTAAAAAAATGTTAACTCCTAGTTTATACTGTAGACTCCTGGTCTATACATCAGGGGAACCTCAGGCCTTGGGACCAAATGCGGTCCTTCAGTTTCTTGGTTCAGCCCTAGGAACTCTTTCCCACACCCTCTTTGACTCCTTTTGCCTGGCTGGAATGTGCTTTTAGCTGTGGCAATGCCTCTTGCTTGCCTGAAAAGAGAATGGGGAGGTGTGTGGTATATGTGGGTATAGAAACCTCCGACTTTTGCATGGCCGAAATGTAACCTACTGTACAAAGGTAAGAGGTGTGCCCATTGCTCTGGCCACCCCTGGTATATGGCCCCCAGAAGCTTGCCCACAAAAGAATGTGGCTCTTGGGATGAAAAATGTCCCTACCCGTGCCTGCTGTACATATATACCGGTATCTTATGCAGTGTGCAGAAGGGCTTCTATGGAGTTGAAAAGTACTCAGGGTTGTGCAAGGTCAGAAACAATTACTTGCCCCCCCCCAAAAAAAATACCTGTTTGGTGGGTGGATGAATATGCACAAGAATCAGATTTAACTAATTAAAGGGAGAAAGGCTCCAACAATTAAGGGGCAGAGAGGACAATTGGATGGAAGGCATTGTAATAAAGCTGCCGAAACATAATCAGCAACATTGTGGAAATGCTAAGTTCCTGTTTATGAGACATCAACTTTCAGACTAAGAAACTGGAATTAGTAGACAACTGGAGCCTGCGACAAAATGTTGCAGTGGAGATTGCTCTTGTTCAGGGTTCTAGCCATTCTGTTCCACTTGATTATCTTTCTTCTTTCTCTTCAACTGTCATCCCAGCATTATGTGGCCACTGAGCACGCTCAGTTCTCACTGGGGTGTTTTGGCCGTCCCCTCCTCCATTTAGAGTCCTGCCTCCACCCCAGATTTGTTATATTTCTGCACAGCTGTGGGTTCCCTGTGTCCCTTTTATTCTTGTGCCATTTTGACTATATATAAGCAGTAGCACTCACAGCCTGAACAATGGAAACAGAAGGACTTACTGTACTTAGTCACATGATTAAACTGTGTCTTGTCATTGGCCTGGTTCACATATCACATTGAAACATAGTTAAAATAAACTGTGTTTTAATGTGAGCGAGTGGCATGCTAGTTGCAGGTGCTTCACTCATCCCCTGCTCCTGCTGCACTGCCAGGAAACGAGCAAAAATTTTTCCTTGGCTTGCTCCTCAGGGCCGGCCTACTGCTTCTTTCCCAGCACTGCAGCAACAAGGGAAGCAAAGCACCTTGTGAGCCCAGCTTGTCAACTAATTTGTAAGAGCAACAATGGTCTTGGAATCATCAGCACCCTGAAGTTCATAATAAGCATTCTGGGAAAATGTTTCTGTTGAACCTCACATGGGTGAGAGGAAAGGGCAAAAGAGCTATTTGCCTGTGTCTTGTGACGGGAAAAATTAGCTGAGCTCTGAAGGTCTGATACTAAGTCATTGGGGGCCACAATGAATCCTCAGGCCACCCTTTGTCTAAGATAAAGTGAATTATTGACTTGATAAGCAACAGTGTTTTATAGAGAATAAGGGCTCATGGTTGTGTGTGTTTTTCTTTTTCTTTCCCTCCTTTTATTCAGTGAAGGATATCAGCATGCTAAGCATGGTATCAAAGACTATCAGCAGCCGCCTTATTAATTACATCTCAACTCCTACAGGAAACCGAAGGCTTTTGCGGCAGGACTTTCATAATCCTGAGCTATCTGGCTGTAGGAAAGGATACTCCATGCTAGAACACTACAAATCCTTAGGTGACAACAACCACAATTTATTTATTTTTATTCCAGGGACACAAAAATAGATTTCAATCAAATAAAAAGAAGCCAGGATTCAAGATCCTGGTTAACTGGAGAATAAGAACGTAGATACAAATTGGATCCTTTTAAAAAAACAGGGAAATATTATTGAGCAGGATAGGAGGGTAATTTCTCTATGGCAATTAATCCAGATCCAGTTTCAGTCATATAGTGAACAAGGGTTCGTTTCTCAACAGATGAGCATAAATCTCAAGTCTCAAATACTTTTGCTGGAAATTTATTTGGTTTACAATGAAAGACCAAAAAAAGGAAGAACAGTAGTTCTTTTTAATACTTTCTACTACATACAATACATGCATACATACATAATTTTATTTGTATGCCACCTTTCCATACTTCAAGCCAAGCTCAAGGTTGGCTTACAACATGAAAAAATAGATAATGACAACATAACAAAAGTAGTCACAAACAATAAATAAAACATCAAATCGAACAATTTCCACATTAATCATGAGATCTAAAATAAAGATACAAAAAAAAATCAGTAAAAGCAACAACCTCCCCCTGCCCATCTGCAACAGCACCCATGCAACAACACCTCAGTCCAAGAATCTTTTCCGCAGCCTCAGCTTTTGTAGCTGGAGTCAGTCAGGCCCCCACTCTCCGAGTCTAGTTGGGAAAAGGCCTGCAAGGCTAGGAGCAGGTGTTCTAGGACCAGAGCCAAGATGGCCTCTACATCATTAGTTGTAACATACACTTGCTGCATCCTGCAAAAGGGGAAATCAGTTCCATGTACAAAGTTAGGAATTGAATAATGCCCATGTGGTTCAGCAAGTCTTTGATGGTCACAGCAACCCAAGTTTCCCACTTTTGAAAGATGGCTTTACAAAAGGAACACAAGAAGAGCCTTGCTGGATCAAGCCCAAGGCCCATCTAGTTCTGCAATCTGTTCTCACTGTGACTGACCAGATGCCTATGTGAGAAGCCCATAAGCAGGGCATGGATATAATGGCGCTCTCCCTTGTTTGTGAGTCCCAGTGGAGGTAGAACATAGCCTCATACACCATGAATTTGCTAATCGTCTCTTAAAGCCCTCCAAATTGGTGACCACCACTATAACTTGTGGGAGAAATTTCCATACTTTACAATGTGTGGTGTACTTTCTTTTGTCTGCCCGGAATCTTCCAACATTCAACTTCACTGAATGGCCCTGGGTTCCAGTCCTATGTTAGAGAGAGAAGAGTTTCTAGCTACTTTCTCCACAATATGCATAATATTATACACCTTTATCGTGTCCTCTCTTACTTGCCTTAAAAAACTAACTAACTAAAAAGCCCTAAGTGTTGTTTTCGTTGCTGTTTTCTGAAACCTTTGCAGTTCTACAATACCCTTTTTCAGATAAGGCAACCAGAACTGTACACAAAAAAGTTACAGTTATCTGGGCCGTCCAGATGTTGTTGGACTCCAACTCCCATCAGCCCCAGGCAGCGCTGCTGGCGGCCAGGGGAAACAGCACTACAAAATGATCAAAATGTGTTGCTCCTTCTGGAATAGCAAAATGGTCACCAAGTGAGTTTTATAGCTAAGCAGGGATATGAACACAGGACAAAGGACTATGTTCCAAGTCCTTAGCCCTTACGTGGCACTAGTTCTCTGTTTCAGCAGCTGAATGAGCAAAAAAGCTCTGTTACAGTTTCATCCCTCAGCCTTCTTTGCCTGTCCCCCAAATAAATTTCCAGCATTCCCACTCAGAATTCGCTACCAGTTTTCCTGAACAATACACTGTTGACCTAGTTTTTTAAAATAAAAATTTAAACCATAAGTTTCCACTGGCTGAGAAATATTTTCCCCTACTACAAACAAGCTGTTCCAAATTCTACATCAAAAAACAACTCTGTTGTTGCGTCCTTGTGTGCTATGCCATAATAATTCAGAATAATATATCCTCTAAAATGGCTTGGAAGAAAGTCAAAAGCTCTTCTTTCCATGATGGACAAGGCTAGCTGAGCTTCCCCCAGTGTACTTTCAGATTCTATTGTATTTCTTTTTAATATAAATATTTTTAGTAACTGTCACTTTACAGTTGACACAACCTTTCTTGCAAGGCTTGAAATGCTATTTACATGACCTTTTAAAAACAACAACCATTTCTGAGGTGCTTTGATGTGCGAGTCTCAACACAAGGAGCCAAAGTTGGCAGAGGCCTCAAAGGATTTCAGCTTTATAGACTGATCTATAAACCAATTAATCTGGAGCACTTTCATTTTATCCAGCTGATGTGGCTTTAAGTCCAAACAGTCATTTTAAGTAAATGAAACTAAATCAATTTACAACTAGCAATTTGTGTAATACCTGTTGTGTGTCAGAGGGCTGTATGGAGCAGTCAGTGCTGTCCTGTTCAGAGGGCCTAAATCAGGCATGTCCAAAGTCCTTTTTGGGGGCCTAATCTGGCCCACCCTATGCCAGTTCAATCCCAAAAAAGCTCAAAAACTTAAATACTAAAAAAAGCTCAAAAACTTCAATCCTGAAAGAAGGACACAGTTCTCAGTGAGTAGTAGGATTAGAAAAATTTGAGTAAGTAGGAGGATCAGAAAGAAAGAAGGAAGTATAGTGACAGCAGAAAAGCAAGGAAGCTTAGAGTGGGAAGGGTAGTTCAGGAAATGATTTACTGGAAACAGAAGAAGGAAAGTCATTGTCATCTGACTATCCTAACTAGCTGTCTATTAACAGTGTGTAGCCTATTATTTAGTTTATTAAATAAACGGGCTTCTGGCTCCTAACAGCACAGGCGTGCAGGGTTTGGCAATACAGTACAATTCAGAATATTATATTTCAAAACATTCCTGTGTGCTTTTTTCTTTCTTTGCAGGCCTGTTGTTAAAAAGGTGTACTTTATTGCTACCTACAAAGGAGAGATTGAAGTACATACACAAGATACTTTCAGAAGTAAGCATAACAGCTTTTTTAAAAACCCACCTTTGTACATGTGCACATGCAAATTGCCTTATGCTACCTAAAATGCCTAGTAAATTGAAGGTTCCACCCCTCTTTTATCTTTATAGATTTCCTGTTTTAAATTTAGTGGCTGCTCAGATCCATTTCATTGTTTAGGACTACAGTGTTACGGAGTATTTTTACAGGTAAAGGATACTTTAAGGGAGAAAAGCATTTGGGTTCCGTGGTTGCTTTGAAACAAAACAAAGTTTTGGGGACTTGGTTTTCACCTGTTTTCACAGATAAAAATATGAGTTAGCAGAGAGGTTGTCTGTTATTTTCCAAAATGCTAATTGCACTGATGTGTCATAGAAATCATAATCAGAAGTCAGTGTTATTCCATTCATTTCTCCGAATCACTGTGTGACAGAAAGAAGGAGAACTGGATTGTTAGAGATCACTGAGGATGCTCCCATGGGGAAAATACCTGATACTTTGTTTTTCAAGAAGTAATTTTGGAAATATTGGTGCAAACTTTAAAATTTGCTTTAAATGAGTGTCGCTACAAAATCCTTCTGACCTGAATTTATGACTGAGGTTCTGGAATGGACAAAAAATATGCCTCCATCTGTCCTGGGAATCTTAATTTTCCCACCTGTATTACTATGTGGATATATGGACCCCCTACCTTGTTCCCATGGGACGTGGGTGGCGCTGTGGGTTAAACCACAGAGCCTAGGACTTGCCGATCAGAAGGTTGGCAGTTCGAATCCCTGCGACAGGGTGAGGGCCCGTTGCTCAGTCCCTGCTCCTGCCAACTTAGCAGTTCGAAAACACGTCAAAGTGCAAGTAGATAAATAGGTACCGCTCCAGCGGGAAGGTAAACGGCGTTTCCGTGCGCTGCTCTGGTTCGCCAGAAGCGGCTTAGTCATGCTGGCCACATGACCCGGAAGCTGTACGCCGGCTCCCTCGGCCAATAAAGCAAGATGAGCACCGCAACCCCAGAGTCGGCCACGACTGGACCTAATGGTCAGGGGTCCCTTTACCTTTGCCTTGTTCCCAGCTCTCAAATTACTTGTAGGAGCCTCAACTCCCTTTTGAAGGTATGATATTCTCTCTGCAGCAAAGAGTTCGCTCTATGGCATAATACTTTTACTGTTTGAGGTTTCATTCTTTTCCTGTTGTTGGTAAAGGCAGAGCTATAACTCTTTCACTGCCTCCCAGGTATTTGATGCAGCTCTTCATCTTTGGAGGATTAGTATCTGTCTCCCCTGTCAGCCCTCTACCTCTGCTACTTTCCCCTGGCTGCTTGCATTAATTTCATTGCCTCCCTCCCAAGGACATTTGAGTCAGGCAACTAGAGCTCAGTACTGAGTAATATTTGAATACTGTACACAAAAATATATATACACAGCTAAGAGATCTTGGACCTATCAAAGTGATTTGGTGATCTTTATGTGTCTACTTTTGTTTTTCTCTGTAACGTTTTCAGACTTTAACAGCAGGTTGGGATGAATTAGAATGTCATCGGGTTTATAACTTCCTCTGTGAGTTGAGTAATTTACCCCGGAGAGTGCAGACAGTTGTCGGCAGCAAACCTGGTAAATACACTGTGTGAGGGAGAATGGTGTCCTACAACCCTTTTGTTCTGAATTCAGAAGGCATCGAGGCAAGGGCAAGATCCTTGACTCTGAGACTGTATACACACTCCCATTTATTTTCCATCCAGTGTGCCCCCCCCCACTGTTTTAGGAAGCGGTGTATACACAACATTAGCAGCAAACCATATCTATCTGCATTAGCCCTGTTGCTTCTTACAAAATGCTGCCTTTTCCTGCATTTTTCCCAAGCCAGCCTCAATCGAAACTGAGATTGCATTGCAGGGGGTGGACTGGATGACCCTTGCGACCCCTTTCTACTCTACGATTTCTACGATTTTGTGACCCTAGCTGTGTTTTAAGCCAGTAATGTTCTTGTAGCCTGAGTCTGCAGAATTCGCTTCCTGCTATTATTTGAAGCAATGTAAAACCGGGCTATTCTGTACCAAGGCTAATTCCTACATGTTGATTTAATGTCTTAGGAAGTGCCCGAAAACTGGAGCTGAGGATAAGGATCTTTTGCCGCAGTGTTCTTTTGACCCATTGGATTCATCGGAGTGATTCGGCATTTTGGCTGACACGTATTTTAAAGCCATGGCCTATGGTAAATCAAGCCCGGCTACTATATATACTGTTTGGGCCTGCCTCTAACTTGGATGGTAAGCTGTTTTAAGTAATAAGGCACAGAATCTATAACATAGGTAGAAATATATGGGTAGGCTACCTGTAAATTCTGCCTATGCAATTCCAAATGTTTTGTTGCAGAAAGAATTGGGGTTGGCCTTTGCTGTTCAACTCCCCAAGGGACTTTGATTCCCCTAAGTCCATGATGGGTCAGAGAATAACGGATGGAGGCAGAATTCAGGGAAAGCACAGTAGATCTTTATTTTTCTGTTGCAACAAAGTCCCTCCCCCACCCCTTGCAAGGAGGTGAGAGACCCAGAACAAAGATGTGCAAGCCCCTTTTAAGACATTAGACATTGTCCAACCCCTTAGCCATAGACCACCCAAAAAGCATCATGCATACATCACAGAAAGAGGCAGGTCTACCATAGAAATTTGAGTGTGTGGCTTCTCTCCTGTCTGCCAGGATACCTGATAATGTTTTAGTGATTGCATTACCTGGGCAGTTTGGCCATTCTTTTCAGATGGTAAATACTTTAGTTCTTGAACCCAGGTCACAGGACTACCCTATTCACAAACAAAATATGCGCTTAAGGCAGGATTTGAAGTATTTAGAAGAGAAAGAATTATTGGGAAAGGTTTCTCTTCTGCAGAGGAAATATTTAGAGTCATTAGGAGAACCAAGATTGTTCTGTGAGCTAAAATAATGTGTAATTTTTTTCAGGGAATATTTCCTAAATTTTGGAGGGAGAAGGATTCGTTTTCTGTGGATTGTGTGTCAGCTGTGTGTGTGTGTGTGTGTGTGCACCCTAAAATTTTATAGCAATTGCAAGAAGTCCTCACTGTACTGTGGTACCTCTGGTTACGTACTTAATTCGTTCTGGAGGTCCGTTCTTAACCTAAAACCGTTCTTAACCTGAAGCACCACTTTACCTAATGGGGCCTCCTGCTGCTGCCGGAGCACAATTTCTGTTCTCATCCTGAAGCAAAGTACTTAACCCGAGGTACTATTTATGGGTTAGCGGAGCCTGTAACCTGAAGTGTATGTAACCTGAAGCGTATGTAACCCGAGGTACCACTGTATTAGGGAAAGCATCATGAAAGTATTCTGATTTACATCATTCTTGTTGAAGAGACTGTCCTTGTTAGGTGTGGAACCAGCTTCTAACCTTTTATGCTGCAGTAGACAGGCATTGTAATTGTTTCATGCCCTCTCCTTAGGAGAAGAGAAAGGCACAATTTGATTGATGAACCTTGGCATTTGCAAGGAAGGCACCATCTTACACACTGCCCCCAGACTTGGCCTGCCTCAGCTAGTAAAGAAAGTGCTTGACAGATTTTCACAGTTTAGTGTGAGGAAAGATTCGTTTTCCTGTCATTTCACCCCTCCACCATATTATTTTCCATCTGTGTCTTCTTACACAGCTATGTTTCTTTTTTCCAAAATACAATGTCTTGTTTGCAGCAGTGCTTCTCCATGCCCATAGACTACTGCTCCCTCATGTCAGTTTTGCAGGAAACTTAACAAAGTCACCTCGCGTGAAAAAGCAAGTGCTGTCAATTGTACCTGACACCAAAGCATTGGTAGGCACTTAGTGTGACTCATTCACTCACATTTTATGGGGGGGGGGTGTTACATGGCATCCTCATCCACTTGTAGCCCTCTCATGTTTTCCCAGTGCTTTTGCCTTTTCTTCTGAAGAAAGTCTGACTCTTTTTGAGAAGTTCAGAAGAGTAACATGATCTCCTACACAGGTTTAAATGCCCTTAATGCTACACTTCCATCTTTTAAGGAGGCAGAGTTCTGATGTAGACAGTTATGTAGACAGTCAGGTGGCTCTATTGCAACTCAGCACTCAATATATCCTTCCTGGTAGGCATTTCATATCCTCATTAATTTTTCCATCAATCTTCTGATTAGCAATATGGAGCATATCTGGCTACATATCTTTTAATATTAAAATATTAGCAAAATGCTGCTTGAACAAAATAGGACTGGAGCACTATAATACATTAACACTGACTTTGAAGAAAAACCTTTTCCAGTCACTTTCATTTTAGTAACCCACATAGGTAAAGGTAAAGGACCCTTGGCAATTAAGTCCAGTCGCGAACAACTCTGGGGTTGTTCTCGCTTTACTGGCTGAGGGAGCCAGCGTTTGTCTGCAGACAGTTTTTCCAGGTCATGTGGCCAGCATGACTAAGCCGCTTCTGGTGAACCAGAGCAGTGCATGGAAACACTGGTTACCTTCCCACCGGAGTGGTTCCTATTTATCTACTTGCACTTTGACGTGCTTTTGAGCTGCTAGGTTGGCAGGAGCTGGGACTGAGCAACGGGAGCTCACCCCATTGCGGGGATTCAAACCACTGACCTTCCGATCGGCAAGCTCAATGGTTTAGACCACAGCACCACCCACGTAACCCACATACCTCACCCTAATTCAACATTTATCTTCTATATTTCCAATCCATTTGGGGGGAATTAAAATATTAGTTATAATATTACTTAACTTTTAAAAGAGTTGTGGTAATTTTGCCACAGTCCTAACCCCACAATGTTGATGTGTGTGTGTCTGTGTGTAGGGTGCTGTGCAGTCACCTCTACTGAGTTACTGTTGTCCTTAATGTAATTCAGGGCATGTGGTTTGGCAGAAAACAACTGACGGTCCAGCAGACGAAATCAGTTTGAAAGGGTTGGCAGATGCCATTAAACTACTGTATGACACAGAAGCAAAAGAGTGGACGGCAGATGATGTCATCAGTTTGTTGGATGAACTTTCAGGTACAGTACTGCCTTTCTTCTACTCATTTTCCTAAGAATCCAGAATATTATGACATAGCCACATTCAGAGCCAGTTCACATGACTCAGGGCTGGTGATGAATTGTGAACTGACTCTGTCTAGACTGAGTGTTTTGCTTGGATGGCAGGATAATTTCACTGAACATGACATTTCAGTATGTGCCCAGACCTATAGTTTGGCATGCCCCCCAATTACTTGGCAGTGGTTCAATAAGCTGTGGCCACAAACTGGGAAACTTAAAATGTCGGCACAAGGTGAAGCAATAACACAGCCATCTTGCAATGTGCGCACACTCAGCCAAGATACATGCTACTCACAATTCAGAATGACTCGCTGACTACGCAGATTGGCTCTGAGGGCCAAAGTAGATGCAACGGGGCCACCATGTGTTTTCTCCAGTCACGGGGGAGATGAGGATCTGGACACAGATAAAGCAGGAGATGCTGGCTGGAAGATGCAGGAAAGCATCTAGAGAACTCCAGGTTGAGGAAGTCTGCCTTATTTAATAGTACAGTGGTACCTCTGGATACGAACGGGATCCGTTCCGGAGCCCCGTTCACATCCTGAAGCGAATGCAATCTGAGTCTGCGCGGGTCGCGATTCACTGGTTCCGCGCATGCGTGTGACGTCATTTTGACCGTATGCGCGAGCGGCGAAACCCAGAAGTAATGCATTCCATTACTTCCGGGTCAGCGTGGAGCGCAACCCGAAAGCGCTCAACCTGAAGCAACTTCAACCCGAGGTACGACTGTAAAAGGAGACAGAGAGGTGCTGGATTCGATTTATTCTCTGCAGTAGGTTGTTCCAGGTTTTTTGGGATTTTGGCATTTTATTGCTTGGCTGAGAAGCTGGTTGGTTTTGTAGATCATATTTTTATTATCTGATTTGTTGGTTAGATGTGCTTTATTGGTGCTGTATTGTATCTTGAGGAAATACAACTAACAAAGGCAGTTAAAAAAAAAAGTTGAAGACGTATTTTTAAAATACTTTGAATATCTTAAAAAAAAAATATCTTATTTTTATAACAGTGGTTCCCCGTGACTGGCTTCTGGAAAACAGTGCCCGGCTCCTTATCTTGTGTGGAAACAATATCTGCTTCACTTTTATGGCTAGTAAAGCTGTGAACGGTCGAGCTATCGAACTGGCGAGGCTGGTGGTTTTCCTGGCTTTGGTGAGTAGCAATGAACAGGGCAACTTTCCTTCTCTTGTAGTACCTTTTTCAAAAATTAAGGCATATCAAAGAGCCAAACTCATTGTCCATAGAAACATGACAGCAAGCTGCCTTATACCAAGTCAGAACATTCACATATTGTTGACAGTGGCTGGCAGAAGTTCTTCAGAGTTCCAGTCTTTTTTGGTTTTTTTACACAGCCCTTCCTCAAGATACCAAAGATTGAACCTGGAGTGGGGGAAACTTCTGCATGCAAAACATATGCTCTACCACTGAGCTGCAGTTGTTAATCACGGTGTTAAATGCACCATTGCATTTAATGGCTACATTTTCTTTAAAATAATGGGTGTCAGGGGTGCCAACTTGAATAAAATATTGGGGGGGGCGGCAGGTAAGCCCTACCCCACACAATCAATCACATGACATAACACACACACACATAATTTTAATGGCAATGGCCATCAACTTTGGAGGGGGCGGCCCCCTCAGATCTTTTAGGGGGGAGCGAAGGGACCTTGGACCCTAGGAGCTGGCCGCTATGAATGGCCAGGGATGGGGAGAAATGATTGACACAATAACATTTGGGGAGGAGGAGCCAACACTTTGCACTCCACCACAGTCTTGATTAAACACCTCCTCCTTGAAACTGTTGTTTGGCATGGGAAGGAAATGGTATCAAAGGAAGCTGCCTCCCAGGCCTAATAGCTCAGGGTGTGTGGGTGTGTGAGAGAGATATTTCTATCAAGACCACAGCAGGTGGGATAACTTCTTCCTTATGACCTACAGTATTGATCCTAATTACTATCTTCTCTTTCTCTGTTGGCTGTTATTTAGAAGAAGAAGAAACTAGAGACGTTTACTGTCATCTTAATTTGGCCCTTTTGCACCAGCTTTTCTATTACAGTGTTCAGGCTACTTGCCAAAATTAACAAAATTGCAGCAAAGTTTTGAAAGAGACAGTTTAATATTATCTCTGTGAATACTGCAAGACTAATTATCCTGCCTTAGGGTGTTTCTATGGCAGCATCCAAGTATGTCGCTTTGTGTATTGCCCACTGCACGATTTTGCTCTGAAGTAGGGAAAGCATTTGTTTTGTACAACACTCTTTGGAGAAATAATTCATTTGGGTTTTGCAGCTACATTTTACTCTCTTAATAGCCTGGTTCCCATTTAAGCTAGTTGGAATCTGCACGCCAGACACACACACAACCAACACACACACACACACACACACGTGTCAAAATGCCCTGCATCTAACACATTTTGCCTGCATTACAATATGTGTCAGAGCTACTCTGTGATGTCTGGCAAATTAGTACAGATAACAAGTGCATCTTCCTGCTTTTTTCTGTCAGACAAGCAAATTCAGCGGGGTGTGGGGATGACAGGCTCCTGTACCTTCAATTGTTGCACAGGAGAAGAGGGTAGATACCACTTTTCATGCAAGAGTGAGCAAACCAATCCCTGCTTAGAGCTAGCTTGGTACAGTGGCTAAAAAAACTGGGCTATGAATCAGAAAGCTCTTGGTTCAGGTCTCACTTCTGTCATGACCTCACTCAGTGGCCCTTTATTCTACAACATGAAGATAATCATACCAGTCTACCTCCCAGGGTTGTTGTAAAGATTATGTAAATCACTTTGAACATTTGAAAGCACTGTATGCTGGGTATAATATTACTAAAATTACAGAAAGTGCTGACCTTTGCCTGCAAAGGAAGAATTGGCAGTACGCTTAGTGCACACATCTTCCTTTTAGCCATGGCTTGAACTTTCCTGTGCCTGATGTCATATATGACGTCAAGCACAGGAAAGGTGGACATGGTTTTGCAAAGCAGGCTAATGGGCCGATCTGCAGGCCATAGATTCCCCATCACTGATGTTTTGAAGTGAAAAGGGAGGAAGCAAAGATCAACAACTGCTGTCCGTCCCATCAATGGAATGGTCATTAATATTTTCTGTTCTTGTTCCAGGTATGTGAGAAGGACCTCTACTGCATGGATTGGGCTGTTAAAATGATGCAGAAAGTCTGCAAGGTTTTCAGTACTCCGGGCGAAAGGAACAACTTCCTGCAAGGCGTGGAGAATTCTTTTGCACACATTATCATGGACGCACTGCAGTCTGTGATATCCGGTAAGAAATCCTACAGGTAGCAGAACCGTCACCTGCTCATTTCTTTAATTGCTGCTTGTCTCTGTCGGCTAGTTTCACTGGTTGCCTCTGCTCCATGTAAATTCACAAATGCCTGGATAGCCTTTCACACAAATTAGATAGCCTAGGTGCAGGAAATAGTTTCACTGAATGCATTGTCTCAAGGCTGCTTGGCTGAGCTCTGAAGCGAGAGCTCTGTCAGGCAGATAGCACACGTAGCAGGTTTGCTAGATCATAGACATAAGAGGTTTTTAGAGTTGCCAAAAGTAAAAACCAGGACACCCTGAAGGTTGTTGAACTATAATTGTTTTATAGGAAAAACCAGTAATCAGGACGTATGGTTTTAAGCAGAGGTTGGATGGCCCCCTGTAAGGGATGCTGTAGCAGCAAATTTCCAGGTGTTTTTGTGTGTGTGTGTGTGTGTGTGTGTGTGTGAGGTGCCCTTCAAAGTCTTCCTCAACTCTCTAACTCTGTGATTCAAACATCCTCCTGCGTTTAGGGTTCCTCTTTCGCATACTCCAAAATATCATTTAAAGTCATTTTTATGTTCTTAATAATGCAATTAATGATAATAATTGTAATGTTTTTGTACGCCTCCTTCTGGCAACTCCTGCAGCCAAGCTGGTGCCAAACATCTTGCTCTGCTTTCCTTTGGACCACATTAGTGAGGCCAAGAAGGGGGGTCTTGTTGTCTGGGCATCCCAGGACCTCCACACACACACACACACACACACACACACACACTGCTCAGGCTTGCACCCTAGGGAGGCCACTAGGGAGCCTAACGCAGAGGTTTGACTTCACCCGTGTAGGTGCACTCCATTGTCTCTCGAGAAAGACGGGTGCCAACAACAACAATTCATATTATCTTATTTTTGTAAAGCACACTGTGCCCATTTCTGGTGAATGGTGGTACAGAAATCTCTTAACAAAGAAACAAATAAATAAAATAGGAAGTAGTATTTGCAATAGTTTAGAATGAGAATAGGGACTCTCTGGCCCTCCAGATATTGCTGGATTGCAGCTCCTATATTCCCTGACCATTGGCCATGTTGGCTGGACTGATGGGAGTTGTAGACCAGCAACACCTGGAAAGCTAGAGGTTCCCTATCTTTGTTCTAGAGACCTAAACTGTCTTTCACCTATGACAATATATTATTTAGGAATTAATAATAGATCATAGAATTGTGGATTTGGAAGGGAACAGAAGGGTCATCTAGTCCAACCCCTTGCAATGCAGGACTATTTTGCCCAACATGGGGCTCGAACCCACAAACCTGTGATTAAGAGCCTCATTTGTATCCTGCCCTTCAGTGTTACAGGCTAAATCAGACAAAACATTAAATGTATAATGCATTTAGCATACCTGATTTTCAGGGAGTGGGGAATTAAATAGCAGCCATGACGAGGAGGCTCAGGATTAGGAACCTGTGAGCAAGGGTTAATCTCCCTCCCACCCCTCTCTCTTACACACACCACAATCTAGGAGAAAAAACCCCATGGAGGCTGCTATTTGACTTGTGCGCAGGGCTGTCATGGAGTGACAATAGCAAGGGCAAATAGCGAACAATCTCCAGGGAGTGATTTTTATCAGGGCTGCATTGTGAAAATCTAAAACCCTCTCTGCACCTTCAGTGTTCCCAATCCTGAGCTCATAGTTATTACTTTACTGGGGGTGGGGGGCAGAACCACAGCAATGTGTTTCATACATTGTTTGTCTGGTCCTCAGGGCAGCTAACAGAACATATATTTGTTTTTGTGCTTGGGAGTTGTGATTGTATTCTCTTCTGTTCTACTTCCTTGTCTTTTTGAAAAACAAATTCACCCTTGATCATCACTGGGTTTTTATTCAAAATATTGAAGTTGGACTCCTGCAGTTTTCAACCTGCGTTAAAAAAAAAAAGGAACAACCCAGTTTCTAGTCCTAGCTCAAATTAAGCTCTGTGAACACCCAGAGTTGAGTCTCCTTATAAATGTGTAATTCTCTAAATGGCGTCACACTGCAGAAGTAAAAAATAAATTAAAACTTAATATCTGCTACCCAATCACTATGAATATGCATCAGCGTGAGCTATTGGCTTGCCGCTTGCCATTAAATGTTTACAACAATGCAATCAATGCTGTCACAAATCACTATTATAGCACAGTTAGGGTAGCCACTAAGAATAGTCCACAGACTTGCACATTTTAAGCAGATTCTGCAAAATCTGTTTCCATAAAAGTATGTTTTTCTTTTTTTTACCTCTCGTTTATTTCACTTAGGGGAGCACGATGAGGAAGACAGCAGCTTTCTTAATCTGTTTCATCTGGTAAATGCACAGGCAAATTTTCATAAGGAAATCCTTTATCTGGCCATGAGCAACAGCATGTAAAATTCTCAGCATTTTGGAGAAGATACCACCATGAGGAGTGTTTCCTCTTTCCCATGTGGTTGCCAATATCTTAACCGGCCTTCAAGATTCACACCTCAGTGGTCATGGGCAACTGCATTATAGCTGTAGAAATTTTTTTTTGCAGCTTCTGAAGTGTGTTGTTGAATATTTATATATTTATATGCAAACTATATATCTATATATTGATTATACATATTTATACTAGCTGTTTTGGAAAACCAGTTGCATTAGCAAGAGGTGGATATCAGTTTACAGAAAGGAGAAGCTAGCTATGCTTTGGAAAAACTGGACAGAGGAGCACAAAACAGTCACATTAAATACTTAAGGTAGTGCAACTGCTTCTTCTTTCATTTTTAAGTCACTCTGAGATCGAGAGAAGTAACTTTTAGTTCTGGTTTCCCTTTGGGATTTCATTAAAATGAAGGAAGCATAATTAAAGAGGCCCAATCAGTTTTATATCCAGTCCCTATTATGCTATTAACCTTTAAAACAGAGAACTCTGCTGTGGATAATTTAAAGTTGTTAACTGTATGTGATTTCACCGGAAAGAAGGTTTAAAATAGACATTTTCCCAGAATCGGAGGAGTAGCAGAAGGATCCTCACATAGCACGGTATGTAGAAAGTTAGCACATTGCAAAGTGCATTATGTTGGCCCCAGTGAAAGACATTTTTTGTGCACTTTGTACTATGGTACCTAAATGCGGACTGCATTTAATGGATTGGGCTGATTAACTTTTTGCATACTGTGAAGGAAAAAAGCTGAAGTTGATCATTGATCCTCCTTTGCTCCCATCCATTATCTGTAGTAAAATCAGTAATGCAAATGTAGTTATTTTAAAGCTACCTTGGTTGATTTATTCATTCAGAAATAAGCCATGTTGTTTTTGTGTTTATGTACATCACTACAGAATGAATGACTCCCAAAAAGGACTTGGTAAAATGCACTCTGAAGTTGTTATGGATTTGTTCTGAATTTGGTGTGGGACTAGGACAATTTTTTAAAAAAGTTAAGCTTCCATGTTGGGTTAAGCATCTTTACACCTTTTATGTAGTGTGATGAGAGAGACAAGAAGGTGATGTGAACAGCAGCGTTTATCTTTCCCTCTGCTGGTTTTTTAAAGAAACCTTTTGCTGCTTCTCTATTATAACTGGAAAACTCCAAAAGAAATTCCAGAATATACTTATGACTTTAAACTACTGTCAGGTTTTTTAAAAAAACTCTCAGTGAAATTGAAATAATATATTGAATGCCCAACTATAGTCTAAGAACTTTTTTTAAATGTATGAATATATGTATATCTCTTTTCTAAATTATGTTTCTATTTATTAGACATTACATTAAAGAACAAGAAATGATGAGCATGTACTGAAAGTGGTTTGTTTTTATGTGCATTATTTCTATTCAAAGAAGATAAAAAGTCAATTGGAATTTAGATTTTCACAGAATTATAAAGGTTTTGCAAGAGATTCTAAGTTATAGAAAATCTGTAAAGGTAAAGGGACCCCTGACCATTAGGTCCAGTCGCGGACGACTCTGGGGTTGCGGCGCTCATCTCGCTTTATTGGCCAAGGGAGCCGGCATACAGCTTCCGGGTCATGTGGCCAGCATGACTAAGCCGCTTCTGGCGAACCAGAGCAGTGCACGGAAACGCCATTTACCTTCCCGCCAGAGCGGTACCTATTTATCTACTTGCACTTTTGATGTGCTTTCTTTTTCTTCCCCCCCCCCCCCATGTTCATAACCACCTTTAATTGACAATAAGGACATGAACTGTAGAGGAAGAGTAACAGTGGAACAAAAATATGCTTCTACTTGTCTTTTAAATCCTTCAGTAATGGCAGAGTTCACTGTCACCACTAAAGTGGTGTTGTATGTCCAGGCGCCACCAGCTACTGTTTTCATACAAGAGCCACAGTGCCAGATACCCACAGCTTTCCTCTTCATTTTGGTCTTGCCACAGAAGGAGCAAGTATATTTAGCATGCTGGCTAATTTCAATCTTCTTCACCATTTTCCTCAGGGAAGCTCCGTATCGGGTACCATATTTTACCCACAATCCCAACCTTCTTGGTTCGTTTGGCCATCTTGTTACGGCTGCAGGCCGCAGGGAGAGAGCTTTTGATGTACTTTCGAACTGCTATACACACTCTTAATTCTTGAATTTCAATAAAGTTTTTTTAAAGAAAGGAAAAAAGGAAGGAAGGCAGAAAATCTTCCATGTGACAGCTCTTTAGATGCTTGGAGATGGCTAGCATGACTTTTCTCAGTCTCCTCTTATGCATGCTAAACATACCCAACTCCCTCAACCATTCCTCATAAGGCTCGGTTTCCAGACCCCTTTATCGTATTTGTTGCCCTCATTGGCACACTTTCCAGCTTGTCATTACCCTTCTTAAATTGTGGTGCCCAGAACTAGACACACACTTATACTTTTAAAAGCATTTAGTAACTCAACTGACATTTATTTGATGTGATTCATTTGTTTCTTGAAGATCCGTTTTTGACAAAAGCATGCTTGATTGTTCACTTAGAACTAAAAATATAAGAGTTTGCTGGATCATACCAAATGACCCTCTAGCCCAGCATCACAGTTGCCAACCAGATACTTAGGGGAAGCCAGCAAGCAAGATCTGAGTGCAGTAACACCCCACTTTCAGTTCTCATTCTTTGACAGAAGAATGTTATTGCACTCCACAGCAGTGTGAGATTCCAAGGAGTTCCAGGGTCTGAGTTTCCTTTAGAAATGAGGCACAGCAGAGACTGGTGTCTTTATGATATGTGGTTTATTTACATATATATACAACCTGATCCTGGGGAGGCGGGTGGTGCTGTGGGTTAAACCAAAGAGCCTAGGACTTGCCAATCAGAAGGCCGGCGGTTCGAATCCCCACGACGGGGTGAGCTCCCGTTGTTCAGTCCCTGCTCCTACCAACCTAGCAGTTCGAAAGCATGTCAAAGTGCAAGTAGATAAATAGGTACCACTCCAGCGGGAGGGTAAATGGTGTTTCCGTGCGCTGCTCTGGTTCACCAGAAGCGGCTTAGTCATGCTGGCCACATGACCCGGAAGCTGTACGCCGGCTCCCTCGGCCAATAAAGCGAGATGAGCGCCGCAACCCCAGAGTCGGCCACGACTGGACGTAATGGTCAGGAGTCCCTTTACCTTTACCTTTACAACCTGATCCTACAATGGAAGGGCTCCCAGCTTTATACTCCAAGAGGGTCTTGCTTCTCCCATAGGTGCAGTCCTGTGTCCAAGCAGACATCAGCCATGCTTGCCTTGCTCTCCCACTAACATGAATGTCATAAAACTGGCAGGTTGACAGGGAGGAGGAAGAGGATCCCGAGGGGTGTGTTTGGGACTGGGGCAAGCAAGGGATGGGAAAGGAAGTACTCACAGGGTGATGGAGGGTGGCGAGGGGATGGGGGGTCAATGCACAGGAACTAGAGCAGCAGGACCCATCACCAGAACTAGAGGGTCCCCTGTCTCCAAGAGCACAGCGGGCTCTGAGGTGTAGGGAGAAGCGAGAGGGGTGCTCTAGGACAAGGGTCAGCAAACTTTTTCAGCAGGGGGCCGGTTCACTGTCCCTCAGACCTTGTGGGGCGCTGGATTATATTTTTTTGGGGGGGGGAGAGGGAAATGAAGGAATCCCTATGCCCCACAAATGACCCAGAGATGCTTTTTAAATAAAAGCACACATTCTACTCATGTAAAAACACCAGGCAGGCCCCACAAATAACCCAGAGATGCAGTTTAAATAAAAGGACACATTCTACTCATGTAAAAACACGCTGATTCCTGGACCATCTGCAGGCCGGATTTAGAAGGCGATTGGGCCAGATCCGGCCCCTGGGCCTTAGTTTGCCTACCCATGCTCTCTAGGAGGCTGAGGCAGACAAGAGCCCACAGCCCAGCTCCTTAGCTGGCCAGGTGGGGCTCGCTAGCTCTGGCAGAAGGTTTGTGATTCCTCGGCTGGAGTAGGCTTGGAACAGGTGAGGGTAATATGCTTCGTCAAGCCCAGATGCTGCAATCAGCATTCAAAAGGGAAGCAGAGCTGAGGTGCTATGTTTGCTCAACTGCCCATGTTGATAGACCTTGACTTGGATACTCCTTCAAGTGTACGGGATTATGCTTTGTGTTTGACTCTGGACTGTATCCTGACTGCTGGACTTCAGCCTTGGCGATGTGGATTGACCCTGAACTGCATTTCCTGGACTTTGCTTGTGTGGACTCACCCTTGGACTTTGCGTACTGACTTGCTGCCAGGTAAGCCAGGGGTTCAGGGCGCATAACTCCTAACTTTGCTCTAGGCAGCTGCCATGATTGCTTCTCTGTTCCATTGCTGTTTACTGTTTAAACCTTTCCCCTTGAGCACACCAGGAAAACTGCAATCCTGAAACTCTACTACTGCGCTTTGTTCCTATACCCAACTCTGAGCTCAGGGAAGGGCTTCACCCATTTTCCCACTGGCACAGAATCTTTGCTTTGTTAATTGCCCATCTCCCTGCCCCCTTTGTTTGCTGAATGGCATGGCCATTATTGGGCTGGCTTGGACATGGGAAAGCTGAGCCCAGCTATGAAGGGTTTAACTATTTGAGCAGGGATTAAATTCTAAAACTTACTAAATCCAGGCACCCCTAAATTCTGGCACCCAAGTTGTTCGCCATCACTGTATCTTGTGGGTGCGAAGAAGTACACACACACCGTCCTGATTCTTCCAACAGTCAGCTTAGGTTGGATGGCACTGAGGGAGGAAAACGTTCCTTTATCCACATTCTGTAAACCATGGATAAGTTTTAAAAGTTTATCATGTCCCCACCTTTTTTCCTTCTTGACTATAAAACCGCAAATGTTGTGTCCTTTTCCTCAGAGGGAAGCAAAATTACCTCCTTGCCTATAAATGAAGGGCAAACACCTTTTTGGTGGTTGAGCTAAACCATTGAACAGATTATAACTGAGTTTTTACTAGCTTTCCATTTAACACCTCAAAACCAACCCATCCTTTAGCCATGCTTTTGTCTCTTTTTAATGAACATTCAATAATACAAGGTGCCTTGAAGTTTATTCACATTAAATTATTAATTTTTACATTTCAAACCTTCCAAAAACTACTGTTTGTGTGAGGGAATATGTTTGGTTCTGCCTCTTGTGTCATTTTACACATTCCAAAAATACAAGGAAACAAAAAAAACACAAACCATGGAGCTTATATATTGGGTCCTGCACATTAGAGATAGTTTTGTTTCCAGTCTGAAAGTAGGAACGGGGTAAATCTGTCAGTTTCAGTTTCCTTCTGCTTCTTCCGATCTTAAATTCAGCTCTCCACATTTCCATATCAATTTATGATTCTTGGTTTTGTTTTGTTTTTAAAAAGTCCAAGGAAACTCATCAGCCTTTCAGTGCAAATTTCTCCTAATACGCTGGCTTGCCATTTTGCCGAATACTTGCTTTGCAAAGCATATTTCTCATCATATACATTTCTGTAAGTTATTTTCACTAATATATGTATTTTGATGCACACTTTACAACCCTAGCACATACATTTTTCTACGCATCACTTGGCTGGCAAACAGCATTGCAAAATTTGGAGAAGTCCACATTTCAAAGGATGGCTGTGTTCCAGTTCACTTATTGTTTCAGAAAGCACAGATTGGGTAAATTCACCTTTAAATGTTACTTCAAATCTCTCCTCCTTGCCTAGCTGAGAGTATCAGTTTGGATGTGGAGGCAAAAAGTTACAACCTGCAACAGTTTGCAAGGACATTATTTTCACACAAGAATTTGCACTATGTCAAATTTTTTATCTGTATTAGTAACTGTACTGAGCCAATATTCTGGCATTTTAGTGCTCTGAAGTCATCGCAGAAACATTTTCCTTTGGAATGGGAGGGAGGGAGATAAGTCCATCTGACAGCTTTCAAACAATACTTCCTTTTCACGTTTCTCTCATATTCATAGAAATTATGAACATGTGACATATTGGAGAAAGAGAATCCCTAAGCTTTCATATCAACCCAAAGGACACACTCCTTTCTACGTATTTCGCATGTGGCTTTCATGTCCCTGTGCAAAAATCTGACCAGCTTGGAAAGATATAGGGGAGAAAGCAACTATGTATAAAAAATATTTTCTGGAAATTTTTCTTTTTTTAAAAAAAGGCAAAAATAAGCATTCTGGTCCCCTGAACAGCAGTAGCAGCACAAAGCCACACCTCTCAGAGACATAGTGTTTCATGTACAAGCTTCCACACAGGGAAATGTGGGGTGTTTTGAATATACTACTGAGCTGCTGGGTGTGCTGCCCCAACCCTTCTCCACCTGATAGATGATGTCCATGCCAAAACCCATTTCTGCACAGAGACTGTGTTGTCCATATTGGGACCTTAGCATGACAAACATTAGCTAGAATACGTTTGGTTATCCATCTGTGTCTCTCCCCCCAGCCCTGCCACCATTTGGCCTTTAGAAATCCGTATTTTCCCAGATTCCTTTTTACTAAAAAACAAACAAACCCAGAACTTACAAATGAAAGAAAATACTATTTTTTCCATTCAAAGGCTGCATATTTTCACATATAGAAAAGCTCTTTTTTAAAAAAACAACAACAGTAGGGTAGTCCAAGCAATAGCTTTACCCCTTTTTCCTCTTAGAACCTTTCAGTCACCTTTCTCTTGCTGTCCATTTTTGTCCACCCCTGGCCTTGTTCCCTTGTTGTTCCCGTTGCAATTCCAGCCCAAATCCTTTGAAATCTCAAGGGGCATCTTCAGGGCGTTGGGCTGAATCATTCTTCTCTTTGCCATTTGGTCGTGCAAAGGGTTAACCTTTCTCGAGAATGCTCTGGAAGAACTCTATTCTCTGGAAGAACTCTAGAGGACCACGCCGCTGAGATCTCCTCCAAGGTGGTTTCTCCCATCTGTAGAAAACCCCCATTAAGGCAAGAAAAGGAAGGAAGAAAAAGGATGTGGATATAAATACACATGGACTGGTAGCAAGCAGGCACCTTATTTACCAAACACAGTTCCAAAGCACTCAATGCTACCCGTTGCTTCTTAAAAGCAGAGTAAATGTCACAAGAGGTGTTACCAATGCTTCTGTACTTTCTTCAGCCCAGAGCCCTTATCACAAACATCACATTGAGCAGCTATAAAGACCCATAAATGATTCTTAAACAGAGAAAGGGCATTTTTCTTTTCTTAATGCATTTTGCTCAGCAAAATGCAGAAGGCACACAGCTTTCTATCCGCAGAAAGATCAGATGATGGATATTATTTAGTGATGGCAGAAGAGAGTTTTTCATACACACACAAACACACACCATTTATTCCTCTATGCAGTCTACTGCCTCCCGCCCACCACCCACCCCCACAGCACAGATTTAACAGTGTGGTTTTCAAATACGACAGAGCTTTGCTAACCATAAATCAGAATTCCCACCTGCAGTATTGCTGAGATAACAGCGTGAATCGAGAAAAGCAGTCTCCTTGCTTGGCCGCCCTCCATAGGCTTTGCTGGTGGCGTGGCTGGAGATTCTACAACATATAGATGATGTAGGATAAAACAACCAGGCCGATAATGGCAAAAAACATGAGGATGAAAATGTCCAACATGGTGATGGAGGGGGAAATGGGGACAGCGATGGTGCTGCCTGGAATCGGAGGCTGGAGGGGAGGGAGAGAGGGAGATGGAGAGAGACAGACAGCTGGTGCAGAGGAAGGGAGGGGTTTAGACTGAGGCAAGGTAATTGCAGGGGTGCCTGCCTGCCTGCCTGCCTGCCTGCCTGCCTGCACATCAGCATCTAACAGGACAGAATGATGCTGCCAGATGAAACAGAGCTGTCTTTTTCTTCAGGGGAGGAAGATGGAGAAAAAGACAAAAATGGGTGTGTGTGTGTAGAATCTATGAGAATGTAACCAAGATGCCAGCTTCTTGTGCCTAACAGCAAGGATTCTCTGATATCCACTGCAGATTTATTCAAAATATCAGGAATCTGGCAGGAATGCCAGCCACAATGCAGAGAAAATGAAGCATAGTTAAATCACCGTTGAAGTCAACTCGCCCTGCGTGTACGTGCATGAACAAAGAATCTAGATTTGTATTCTGATGCCCTCCAGAATTTAACCCCTATTTTTGTTGCACAAGGTAACCTGAAGTTAGATGGCAAAAAAACAGCTGGATGGGATCTTGAGGTCTGGAACTGGGAAGGCATGATCTCCCAGATCGGATACTGATGTTGACCTTGGAAAGTGGTCTTTAATTTTGTTGCTTTCCAAACTAACATTTCCGTTTATCAGGACAGTATTAGTAACTTTTCTGTCCTCGTGGTGCAGCGTTCAGGATGCCACAGAATGGTTGATGGCTGGAGGGCTCTACTTGACAAGGTTGCAGAAGAGATGCTTCTTGGTGCCTTATTGATCCATCATTACTAAGATTTAGTAGTCTTTGAAAACAGCAATCTTTTTGACTGCCAGATCATCTAAGTCGTTTCTCTGCCCCCCCCCCCCAAGAAGGCACTGGATTGCTGTTATTTTCTTAAGTGGGCGGAATTTTAAAATGCTGGCTGAATATACTCTAGAAATAACAACCTTTAATATACTTCCCTCTTAACAGTGAACTCTTGGAAGCAAAATGGTCCCCTCCCAAAAGATAAGGGAGTGGTTTCTATATTATTATCATCATCATCATCATCAACCTTTATTACGGTCCAGAGACCCAACAAATTGTTACAAAGCAATACACAATTCATACAGCCTACCTCCGGGTTAAACAAGCATTTCGTTCAGAATATAGGGATCATTGGTTCTTGCAACCACCGACAAAAACTTGGCCACTGCTAATGTTCTAGCATTTGTCCGGTCTTCCAATAGGAACCTGACATAGTGAGCCTCTGATTTTCCCGGGAAAGGTACCAGCAAGCGTAATATCAGTTCAGCCCTGGCTTGCTCATATTTTGCACAGTGCAACAAAATATGTTTTATGGAATCGATGTCTTGAGCACACGAGTAAAGTCTGTCCTGGTAGGGAACTCCTCTCAACCTGCCATCCAACACTGCAGAAGGAAAGACGTTTATATATAATTCTATATAATTAGGGCACTTAATAAGTGTGCAGAAGTTTATGTAGATAAAAGTGGGGAGGGAAATCAAAAACCCCAAATGGCCTAGCAAGTGCCTGTGAAAGCTTGCAGAACATTGGTGGCAGCTGAGCTAAAACAGGGATAAGAAACCTTTCGTTTGTCCCCACCTTGTGGGCTAACTTTCACAGGTGAGCGGGACTATCCACCTGTCAATCACATGACATCATTAGAATGCCACATGGTTGACAGGCAGGTTGTCTCACCACCTGTCAAAAACCTTTGCTGATTGCCAGACATATGGGAACTTAAAGTGGTGTTGCCTGCCCTGGATTCAGTGAATTTGTGAAGGCTCAGGCACAGAGCTGGCAAAGGGCTTCTTCAAGCATTGGCTACATGAGGCTGAAGTCTCCCTCACATGGCAAAAGAAAACCCAGGATTGTTTTACCTTGTCTGTTCCCATCACTGGTGATGTCAGCTGTTTGTCAGGTGGGTGTGGGTGGGGGGAAGTGGCTTTGTGGGCCAAATTGGGCCCTTTGGTTGGCTGAGACTGGCCCATAGACCAGTGGTTCCCCACACCTGGTCTAAAGGATCAGAAATCAGGCATAGCATGCAAGCAGAAAATACAAGAGGAACATGGCCTTGCCTTTCTGCTTGATCTCTCTGCTGCCTTTGATACCACTGGGCTCTTTAGGATGGGTGCTGGATTCTGTAGTAGTTCTGGCCCTTCCTGGAGTTTGGGATCCAGAGAGCAGCACTGAAGGAAATGCTTTTGTCCCCAGTGCTATTTAACAACTTAATGAAGCCATCAGGAGTGGTCATTAGGGGATTTGCGGCAATGATCAGATTCTGGTGTGGACCACTGTCTGGGCACAGTGGTGCACTGGGTAAGGGCCAATAAATTGAATTTAAACCCTGACAAGACTGAGGCTTTGTGAGTGGTTCCTGTGCTGGGAAACAGGTTAGATACCTGTTTCAAGGCAGTGACGTATTCCCTCTGAAGGAACGGGTACATAGTTTGGGGGGGGGCCTTGAATCTGTTTCTGTCACCGGTGACCTCTGTGGCTGGAAGTGCCTTTTACCAGCTTTGGTTGGTAAAACAGCTATGGATGCCTTTTCCTGAGATCACTTCGCCAGTGAGGTCCTGGCACTGGGTAACCTCATTACTGGATTACTGCAATGGACTCCATGTGGAGCTCCATCCAGAAGTTGTATCTGATTCAGAATGCAGCTGCTAGGTTGTTGACTGGGGCATTCTGTTGACATCATGTAGCACAGGCACCCCCAACCTTCGGCCCTCCAGATCTTTTGGACTAAAATTCCCATCATCCCTGACCACTGGTCCTGTTAGCTAGGGATCATGGGAGTTGTAGGCCAAAACATCTGGAGGGTCACAGGTTGGGGATGCCTAATGTAGCACCTCTGCTGCAGGGACTAGCTTGGCTCTCAGTATGCTATTGGGTACACGTCAAAGTTTTGCTTGTAATATTTAAAGCCCTAAACAACTTCCAGGTGACCTAAGAGACCACCTTGCTCCATATACCCCTGCCTGGCACCTGTGCTCCACAGATAGGGCACTGCTAAGGGCTGCACTGTAACTAGGAAATAAGCCTTTAGTGTGGCAGCTGCAGCCCTCTGGATTCAGTTACAAACTGAAATTTAACAGGCTCCTTGTGTCACGATGTTTAAGTGGCTACTGAAGACGAAGATGCTTTTAGTTAAGATAGCTTTGTCCGATGTATGGCAGTCATTTTATGGAATATTAATTGTAGAAATTGGTCTTCTTACAGTCTGCATCTCCCGTATTTTATCGCCATTCATCTTACTGGCTTGATGTTAGGTGTAGGACAGGTGAAAACATGCCTGAGCCAAGAAGGGGTTCATTATATGGCAGGGAAGACGTAGGGCCATAGTGCCATTTGTATGAAAATTGTGCCGTCCTGGAAACCTGAAGGAAAACACAACCTTGCATGCTTTCCTATGAACCTGAATTAGCAGTTAATGCTCACAGAGGAAAGTTACAGTTCTATGGAAAATACGAGTATTACCGTATTTTTCGCTCTATAAGATGCACCAGACCACAAGACGCACCTAGTTTTTGGAGGAGGAAAACAAGAAAAAAATATTCTGAATCTCAGAAGCCAGAACAGCAAGAGGGATCACTGTGCAGTGAAAGTAGCAATCCCTCTTGCTGTTCTCGCTTCTGGGATAGCTGCGCAGCCTGCATTCGCTCCATAAGACGCACACACATTTCCCCTTACTTTTTAGGAGGGAAAAAGTGAGTCTTATAGAGCAAAAAATACGGTATATCCCACTTATACTGGGCTTTCACTGGACTCCAAACATTGATCAAACTTGAATCTGCTTATCTTTTCCTGTGTTTTAGGCTAAATGCAGTAGACTTGCCCTGCTGAAGTAATTTACTGTATTCTTACTTTCATTACTTGGTTTTTGTTTCCCAAGTCCTGGCTACTCTCTTTAGCCAGTGCTAGGCCATGTTAGGGGTAGGAGCTTGTATTTAAGCCCTTCCCTACATTATGGCATTTGCATCCAGACCTCCAGTCCCAAAAATGGGGTCTGATTTCAGCAATCCCACTGCCCTCCCACCCACCCACATACCAGTCTTCCAGTGCTAGCTCTATACTTCTCTCCCCCAACCTGCTTTTCAGCATCAGCATCCCTGGCTTTTGGTGGTCAAGGTTGATTGCTTTAGATTCTCTAACATGACAGGAGAAAGTGTGCCTAGTGTTCAGCCCCTTGGAGTTGCTGCGGTGTAAGCAATGAAGTTTATGATGCTACAGAAATATAATCTGAAAACTCTCTAAAATTTTTCAAAGAAAAGGAGCTAGAAATAGGGAAATGCAAACACCCAAGATGCAATGTAGATTAAAATTACTCAGTGATTTGGATATGGGAAGGTATATTTTAAATTTGAATGTGTATAGGTAGAAATACTATTTTTAATGCTTTTATACCTCAGCTGTTTTTGCATACACTCAGTGTAGTCAGTTTGATCCTCCATCTTCCTTGCTTTTTGCTCTTTCTTTGGTTCCCAGACCTGTTCCATCTCTCTTTGGTCAGCGCTACCAAGTACTTTAGCTACAGGATAACACACAGCCTCTTTACACCAGGCTCCAAGCTATCCTTCCCTCGTTACTTTCAGAGTGGAATTTTGGGATGACCAGCACATCTTCCCTCTTAAACCATCCTTTGCGGGGGGGGGGAGTTTATTAAGCAGACTTTCTTAATCTGGTGAGTAAAACCCACAGTCTTATGGAGTACAGCTGTGGCTTCATTGTAGAAATAAATTATATCAAGGAACAACAGGACAGTGAGCAAAAGGTTACGACTGCATTATCTTGACTTAGGCTATCAAGCAAATCACCGTGATGTGAATTGGGATTACAATTCTCTTTTGTAGGTAAACTATGGTTTGTCTGTACCAGGAAGTACAGTTGGGAGCAAGTGCACAAGATGAGGATATGAGAGGGGCCAAACCCTTCAAAGGGCAGCTAAATCATGGTTTGGTCACTCTCTGTACAGGGAAATCTACCCAACTTTGGTCTGTTTATATGACTACTTGCCCTATAGATAGGTTGCTTTACATTTTGAAGGCAGGTCACTTCTTACAGCATTCTGAATGTAAGTTTATTTCCCATTTCTACCAAAGGAAAGAGAAAACTATCAAAGACTACCAAAAATCAGTCAGCAGTAAAAATTATACTTT